CTGAGGAAGGCCACATGACAAGAAAATAGTGGCATATATCAGCGACAAAGAAGCCGAAGAAGGTCACGGGACAAGAAAACAATGACGAAACAAGCCGCGAGAGATTTCTGGCGGGAGGAGAGAGGCAAGGGAGGTAACCCTAGCGTCAACAAAAAACAATCAACGAGAGAAACCAGCGAGCAATTGTCAGAGGCGACTAGGGTTTCCCTCAATTTCTCTCTATTGGGGATGAAAACCAAAGAGAAAAAAAATATAAGGTGGAGGAGTTTCACCGTATTTTCCCCCCATCAAGTCATCAACCCTAACGAACTAAACCCACAAAAAGAAACACGCGAAAGAAAAAAAATCCGATCTGGACTTGGTGTCAGGCTTAGAAATGGGTTTCCATGGGCCTTATAAGCAAACCAAACAACCCCTAAAACTAAACATGCCCCAAGGGAAAAAAAATTCCTGGGATTGTAGGAAACGAACCAAATAGCACTTTGGACCATGCATACTCTAGTTGGGCAAACTTTGGCCTAGTTTAAGTAAAGCTAGACTTAGCCTGTTCTCATTTTGCCATTGCCGAAACAGAGGTATTTAACTTTGACATATTTAAATAGAAATGGGAACATAGAAGGAAGAAGAATGGGGGAGCAGGGAAAGAAGAAATATACATGATTTAATTAGAGAAATGAACCGTTGAAACTAAGTTAGGAGGGCGGAGGTGAGACGGAAGAGAAAAGATGAGGGAGGAGGTAGATTGGAGGTGGGAAGAGAATGGAGGTGGATGGAGGAGGATGAGGAAGAAAGACGGAAAATGAAGTGACGGTGGTGGGATCGGGGGGAAGGAAGGTTCATAGACTGAAGAGATGAAATGTTAAGGATGAAGGAGGACCAACAAGCGTAGCCCATAATTAAAGCTTGGAGGGAAGTTTTTCTCCCTCTTGTCTTGAAACTACTAAAATGATTATATCTACGATTACATTCAATAACATCACTAATGTTTTTAAAAGAAAAGATGGGCTCAATAAAATCATGAGTTTTTTTTTGGGATAAAGGATAGTATAAGAAAATAATTCCGTGCCTTTCATTGATTGACAAAGGTCCATTATATACATGAATTGCTACAGGATACTAGGCTAAGATTGAGGAGCCTATTACCTAATAAGACCTAATTAATACACCCTAATTAATACACGTGATATTAGGCTACACGTGATATTACCAAGATTGAGGAGCCTAATACCTAATAAGACCTACCCTAATTAATACACGTGATATTAGGCTACACGTGATATTAGGCTAATTAATACAAATCACTATTTTCTAAATATATACATATTCTGTCACACCCCCACAGTCGAAGCGGGAGGTTGTCGTACGCTAAGACTGTCCCTGAAATCCTGAAATAACACCAAAGGAAGACCTTTCGTGAAAATATCTGCAATCTGATAGCGCGATGGGACATGTAGGACGCGTACGTGTCCACGAGCAACTTTTTCGCGAACAAAGTGAATATCCATCTCGATGTGTTTAGTGCGTTGATGCTGAACTGGATTCCCGGAAAGATATATCGCACTAACATTATCGCAGTAGACCAATGTAGCCTTATGTATAGGACAATGTAACTCCAGAAGAAGATTGCGTAGCCAACATGACTCAGAAACTACATTGGCAACACCTCGGTATTCGGCCTCGGCACTAGATCGAGATAATGTGGCTTGGCGTTTAGAAGACCAGGAAAGTAGGTTATCACCAAGAAACACACAATAGCCAGAGGTAGATCTCCTGGTATCTGGGCAACCACCCCAATCTGCATCTGTATAAGAAAGCAGAGAAGTAGTCGATGAAGGATAAAGATGCAATCCATAATGGAGTGTACCCTGAATGTAGCGCAAGATGCGCCTGAGAGCATGCATATGATCATCCATCGGATTATGCATAAACAAACAGATCTGTTGTACTGCATAAGAGATGTCAGGCCTCGTGAAGGTAAGATACTGGAGAGCTCCTGCAAGGCTGCGATAGTGAGAGGGATCCTCATATGGAGTGCTAGTTTTAGCACTAAGCTTCGGTTTAGTATCAACCGGAGTAGGACAAGGCTTACAAGATGACATGCCAGCACGTTCAATAATTTCTTCTGCATACTTTTTTCTGAGACAAAAATAGACCACCAGCATGTCGATTGACGGCGATACCCAAGAAGTAACTCAGTGGGCCCAAGTCTTTCATAGCAAATTCAGAGCTGAGAAGTGACATGATAGACTTGCGAAGATCATCAGAAGAAGTAGTGAGGATGATATCATCCACATAAAGAAGAATGTAAGCCATATGAGCACCTTTCCGGTAGATGAAGAGAGAGTTGTCTGACTTGCTCTGAGAAAACCCATTAGAAGAAACATAATCAGCAAATCGTTTGTACCATGCTCTAGGGGCTTGCTTGAGCCCATATAACGATTTACGCAGAAGACACACATGATTAGGACGATCTGGGTCCTTAAAACCCAAGGGCTGATGCATGTACACAGTTTCTTTTAGTTCACCATGTAAAAATGCATTTTTAACATCCAGCTGATGAATGAGCCAAGCCTTAGAGAGAGCAAGACTGAGTACTGTGCGAATAGTCGCCGGTTTAACTACCGGGCTAAAAGTTTCTCCACAATCCACGCCGACCTGTTGACCTGCACCATCACCTACAAGTCGGGCTTTATGCCTCTCAAAAGAACCGTCAGATTTTTCTACCTGTTGACCTGCACCATCACCTACAAGTCGGGCTTTATGCCTCTCAAAAGAACCGTCAGATTTTTCTTTATGTCTGAAAATCCACATAGACCGAATAACATTAACATCAGGTGGACGAGGTACTAAATCCCACATCTTATTTGTAATGAGAGCATTATATTCATCATCCATAGCCATTTTCCAATTCGGGTCTTTGAGTGCAGACACGGGGTTACGAGGAAGAGGAGATTTTTTGACACGAGTAAGAAGTCCATGATATTTTTGATTTGGTTTAAAAATACCATGTTGGCTCCTTGTAACGGGTTTGGTTTCTGAACTCGAAGTGGGCTGGAAAATAGGAGGAAGAGAGAGATTTTGTGTTTGGTTAGAATGTGTCCTGAGAGCTGACTGGCCCAAGGTGGAAGAAGATGGTGTTGTAGTGGAAGAGGTGGACTGGGCCGGTTGTGGAGAAGAGGAAGTTGACTGGGAGCTAACTGGCATGTTAGGTAGGGAGGTAATGGGCCCAGTTGGCGAGCTGGGTTGCTGGTAAAAGGAGTTGTCCACGGATTGGGCTAGGGAGGGGGAAGAAGAAGATGGGGACTGCACTTGAGTTTGTGGAGTGGACTGATGTTGCAAATGGTTAATCACATAAGTTGATAATCCATTGTCAAGAAAATCATATGTTGTGGAATTAGGAGTATGCAACTTTGCGAAGGGAAATTCGGTTTCATCAAATAATACATGGCGACAAATGATAATTTTATGTGATGATAAATCATAGCATTTGTAACCACGATGATTTGAAGGATAACCCAAAAATACACAAGGTGTGGAACGAGCTTGAAGCTTATTTATCGTAGTAGAGGGGAATAGAGGATAACATAAGCAACCAAAGACTCGTAAGTGAGAGTATGATGGTTCTTTTTGGTATAGAATTTTTAGTGGCGATTGATAATCGAGAGTTTTACTTGGTAAAATGTTTAGAAGATACGTTGCCATTTGCAAAGCATGGTGCCAAAAAGACGAAGGTAGTGAAGCATGAGCTAATAAAGTGCGAATGATATTATTAATGGAACGGATTTTCCTTTCAGCTGAAGGTAGTGAAGCATGAGCTAATAAAGTGCGAATGATATTATTAATGGAACGGATTTTCCTTTCAGCTTTTCCATTTTGAGATGAAGTGTGAGGACAAGAAAAACGAAAGGAAATTCCATTAGCTTCACAAAGACTCAGAAAAGGACCATTATCATATTCTCTATCGTTGTCACATTGAATATTTTTTAATTCCCGTTCAAATTGAGTTTTGATGTAGGCTCTTAATTTGAGAAAAGTTGGATAGACTTGAGATTTTTTGGAGATAGGGTAAGTCCACAAAAATTTCGAATAGTCATCCAAAAAGAGCACATAATATTTGTGACCCAAAGAACTCAAAACAGGAGAAGTCCACAAATCACTATGCAAAATATCAAAAAGCAGATAAGTAGAGTTATGAGAATCAACAAACGGCAATTTAACATGTTTACCAAGAGGACAAGAATGACAAAGACTCGAAGTTCTAGTCTTAGTACATTCAATCAAATTATTTCGCCTAAGGGAGTCTAAAACAGGTGCGCCCGGGTGACCTAAACGGTCATGCCAAAGAGACGAAGACAAAGCTGCAAAAGTGGATGGAGAAATGGCTTGATTATGTGTGGTGGTGGTGGTGATGGGATATAGCTCACCCCGACTATCACATCTCATTAGAGCCATCCCCGTCTGGAAGTCCTTCACGGAAAACCCAAAAGGATCAAATTCAACAGAAACTTGGTTATCCGTAGTGAATTTACGAACTGAAACTAAGTTTTTAATTAAATTTGGGGCATGGAGGACATTTTTCAACATGAATGGAGGGTGGGGGGGAGGTAAATTAGCACTACCAAAACCACGAATAGGAATAGAATGGCCATTTCCAACAATTATACCATTATTTTTGCTCAAATTCAAATAAGACGAGAGATTACCTTGCGCAGATGTCATATGTGATGTCGCCCCGGTGTCCATATACCAAGACGGGTCGGGCTGAGCAAGGCTGAGTGTGTGAAGGGCTGCTTCAATATCGGTTGGACTGGGCCTAGTTGTAGTGAAAGCTGATTGTTGTGGTTTTGGTCCAAGTAAACCAGGCTGCTGTGGTCTGGGAGCATAATTGGGCCTGGCCCAATTGTAGGAAGGATAGGGACATGGAGGAAGAGACCAAGGAGCCCACTGCTGCCATGGACCGAACTGTTGCCACTGCTGCTGTCCTCCACCGGGTTCCGACTGCCCTTGCCTGAGTTCCGGCCACCGCCAGAATTTTTATGGTTTTTCTTGCCCTTGTTCCCACGATAATAATTATTATTATTATTCCGATTGTGATGATTTTGATTACCTGGGGAAGAATATTGGGTATTCATATCATCATCAGGATTGTGGGAGTTTGCAACAAGGGCAGCAGGAGATGAAGATGAGCCAGATTCACGAGCAGCCCGTTGAAGGATTGTTGATTCTTCTAGTTCCAATCTCGACTTGGCGGTTTCAAATGGTGGCAAGGGATCATGTTGTTGAATGTATGTTACAAATCCTGCATAAGAATCGGTTAGTCCAGAAATCATCTTCAGAACCAAACGAGTATTCGAGACCGGAGCATCAACATTCGCCAATTGATCGGCTAGAAGTTTGAGACGGTTGCAATAGGCTTTGGTGGTAGGAAAATCCTCCAAATTCGTGTTCGTGAATTGGTTCTCGAGGTGGACAGCCCTTGAGTGTTTGTTGTCTTGGAAAATAGCAGCAATTCTTTTCCAACACTTCTCGGCCGAGTCATCTATCACAAGAATGGAATTGAGAATATCTTGTGATACAGTGGCATACATCCATTGTAACACGGCCGCATCAAGACGATGCCAAAGATCGGGATCGGCTTCTTTAGCATCATCTGCCGCCTTCTTAGCCTTCTCATCGGTAGGAGGAACGATGTGATCAAGCACGTTATGGACACGGGCTTGAACTTTGAATAGGGCTGCCCAAGAAATGTATAGGCTTGAATCATTGTCTAACGTGACTGGAATGAGAGATTTCACGTTGTTGATTGCTAAAGCCGGGTGAAACTTGGGTTGTTCGGCCATTGAGGGCGGTGGTTAGGGAGGAGGGGAGCGGAAGAATGAAAAAAAAAAGGTGGCCGGTAACAATGACGGCTAAGAGCAGGAGGGTAGAGAAAACCTCTCTGATACCATATAAGAAAATAATTCCGTGCCTTTCATTGATTGACAAAGGTCCATTATATACATGAATTGCTACAGGATACTAGGCTAAGATTGAGGAGCCTATTACCTAATAAGACCTAATTAATACACCCTAATTAATACACGTGATATTAGGCTACACGTGATATTACCAAGATTGAGGAGCCTAATACCTAATAAGACCTACCCTAATTAATACACGTGATATTAGGCTACACGTGATATTAGGCTAATTAATACAAATCACTATTTTCTAAATATATACATATTCTGTCAGATAGGGTCTCATATTCAAAAATTCCAATCAAGTATTATTGTATGAATAATTGTTTACATAATATATTTAAACAGTTTGTATGATATTTTTTATAAACAAATTTTGCATAACTGTACCGGGTCTAGTTTTTTTTTTAAAATTAGAGTTTTTTTTTTAACCAGAAAATTTCAATCAAGTTAATACGGTTCCTTATTTTTTTTTCACTACGAAAAGGTTAAATAAGAATGAAAACTTGATTCTTGGTTAATTTTTATATTTGAAAAGAGGAATGCAAGATATTAAGATTTTTTTTCTTTTTGAGGGAACCACGATGGATAATCTTCATTCAGTTTGGTGGCTAAGGGGCCAAATAGGGAAATGTGAAAAATAGGTCAAGATGGCGTTGGGAAACACGGGATGTTAAATCTCAAGCACTAAACTTGAAATTAGCTGAGGTTGTACGACGCAGTGAAATTATTGGGTCAAACATCTTTCGGCCCAAGTATCTTTTACCTAACTTGTTACTTCTTAAAGCGGGACTTTAAATTGAGGCCCAAGCATTGGCCCATAACAAAGGCCATGTGCAATGTATCACCGAAGCCGAACTTTGGACTCTCTATACGTTATTCATATATTTTTGTGGTTGAATTACTCATTGACTCCCTATACACGTTACCTATTTGTTTACAGTACAGGAGCAATCAATATGGACTGTCTACAACTTATATATTTTTTCCAGCCCATACTTTGCAAGTATCTTACAAATAATGAATTTTTCTAGAGCGCAATAATAATAGGTAATTTCACAAGAATATTGGTTGCGAGGACCATAGGTTTGGAGCCTACGCGCAGGGCATGATATCAAAATGCTAATTTAATAAAGGATCCAAATTTTTTGCATTAATGTCAAAAAAAAAAAAAGTAACAAAGAGTCAAGAGTGCAAAAACATTAAAAACTAATTCTACTTTGAAAAATTAATAGACCTCCAACCTCAATTTCTAAAGCAAACAATACTCATCAAATAAAAAAAAAAATTTAAAAGATTCAAAATTTCCATGTTACCTTAGGCCAAGGGTCCATAACCAATCCATTATTAATTGTGATAATTAGTAACAAAAGGCACCCTGGGTGGATGTTTCTTTGCACTGCATTGTTGATAAGCATTTAGCAGATAAGCAAGATAGCAGAGAGATAATAATACACGCACAATTTATCATTTTCTTGTCATATTGAGCCGGTTCATAATTAATGCGTGATCACATTTTTGTATGTTCATCAACAATTATGAACTTTAATAATTCATCTCGTGAAATTAGAAAAGGGCTATTTACATATATACCCCCTTATATCATAAGTATTTGCAAAAATACCCTTCAAATCTCAATATTTACAAAACTACCCCTCAAATTAGAAAGTATTACCCTGAAAAGCAATTAAACATCAACATTGATAAGCTAATTTTTAATCGTGATGTAAAAACTTTCAATAAGATAGTTAAAATTTTAGCACCAAATTGATTTGTCGATTTTAGGAGTATTTTTCACAAAGTTGATGATGATTTAAAGAGTAGTTTTGCAAATACTAAGACTCAAAGGGTGTTTTTTGCAAATAATCATGATTTAAGGAGCATATATATGAATAACCCATTAGCAAAACATATTAATAGTTATGAAAAGTATACAAACTGACAAAGAATTTATTTACTTTTTTGATGGATAGAGACTATTCTCTAATAAAGTTGCCATATAACATAATTTAAGCAATAATTGAGTAAAAATTTTGAATAAAGAGAGAGATCAAGGCTGGGCCTCTGGGAGAGAACAATTGACGAATTATTCTAACTTTAAGAAATTTTCTACGAGAAAACAAAGGTTGATAACTTCAAATTTATAAATAAAAAAGACTGGTAATCCATTGCCGATAGCAATTTAAGGATACACTTTTTAGAAGTTTAGTTATTAGAATATGAAAACAACGTAATATCCAAAAAGGTCAATGAAATATTAACTATGGAAAGTTTTGCAGGAGATGCCAAAAATAAAAGAAAATGATGATACTGTTAAAAGTAGTGCAGTTCTAATCAAGATAGCCAAAAGTAAAAGAAAATGATGATATTATTGAAAGTATAGTCCTAATCATAATCCATAAGAGGAAATATTAATCACAATAATAACAGGGAAATTCACAAGACTACCAGCTGCGTGGACTCTAGATTGGAGCCTTTTTTCTGACTGCTTTCCAATAGCGAGGACTATATACCAGAGTCATTTTTATCTATCTGTCTTCAGATCGCGAGGACCATAGTATAGAGCCGTATTTATTTCAAGTTGAAGTGCCTACAGATCAATGAGAAAAACTAAGAATCGATCTTGGTTTTGATGTTTGCCTAGGAGCGAAGGTAGAAATTTTCCTTTTTTCTTCGTGATGACGGAAGATTGTGTATGGACTTTTCTACTTTGCCTAATGACTTAGGTATGAAGTGTTGGGGAATTCAAGCTACTCGACCACCTGTCAAATATAAAATCTCGTGCGGAATTTATCCTACCGGATCTTGTGTTAAGAAATGGAAAGAAGAAATCACAACAAATTAAAATTATTGTAAGAAAAGAGAACACCGAGTTTTAATGAAGTTCGGCAACTTGCCTACGTCCTCGGGAGCCACACAAATAATTTCCTTTATATAAAAGAAGATTATAAGCTTGCAAAGAGAAGATTTCAAACTTGAGATCTCTCAAAAAAGAAAAGCAACAGAAAAACTATCTGTTCTTCTTACAAGGGCATGAGTTTTTCCAACAGGAAAAACTCCTCTATCCTCAAATTAAAACCGCTATAGGAGATCTCAATACATGACAGAGATTTTTAACTTGAGAAATCTCGTGCTAAAAAATTCAGGGAGAAGAAGACGCTCTCAAGAACGTCGCCACCAAGCTCTCAAAGAATCGCCTCTCTAATAGATTCCAAATGCCAAAAACATCCTAATAGATTCCAACCTTGCAACCGGTGCAAAGGTTTCGTCATAATCTATGCCCTCCTCTTGATTGTATCATTGGACAACCAAACAAGCTTTATTTCTAGTTACAATACCATGTTCATCAAGTTTGTTTCTAAAAACCCATTTAGTACCAATAACACTAGCATTGTTAGGTCTAGGAACTAGTTTCCAAACATTATTTCTTTGAAAATTATTTAGTTCCTCATGCATAGCTAAAACCCAAAATTCATCATTTAAAGCATCATTAACCTTTTTAGGCTCTAGTTGAGATAAGAAAGCAACATTACCACACTCACTCAAAGCTTTTGAGCGAGTAACAACTCCTTGTGAAGGGCTCCCAATTATTTGTTCATTTGGATGGTTTGATGCGAATTTCCAAGCTAACAACTCCTTGTGAAGGGCTCCCAATTATTTGTTCATTTGGATGGTTTGATGCGAATTTCCAAGCTTAAGGAAGTTCAACTTGTTCATGAGCATTAGAGCTATCCACATCCTTTTGTGCTTCTATAGAGGGTGTATCATTGAGTTGTAAAAAGTCTAATCCTCCCTCATCATCATCATCTTACCTAGGTAAAACAACTTGAGAACCAACATTAGTCTTATCAAAAGTAACATTTATAGATTCTTCAACAACGAGAGTTTGTTTGTTGAAGACCCTATAAGCCTTACTTCGAGGTGCATAACCTAAGAAAATACCAACATCAATTTTAGAATCAAATTTGTTATGATGATCTTTTGTATTTAAAATAAAACATTTACAACCAAAGATACGAAAATAACCAATAAAATGAGTTTTTTCATAAAATAGTTCATAAGGAGTTTTCTTAAGCTTTGGTCTAATTAAAACACGATTTAAAACATGGCAAACCATATTGACGGCTTCCGCCCAAAAATATTTTGGCAAATCAAAGGAATTTAGCATAGTGCGTGCCATCTCTTGTATGGTATGATTTTTTCGTTCAACAACACCATTTTGTTGTGGTGTTTTAGGAGCGGAAAACATGTGAGTTATACCATGATGAGCACAAAATTCATAGAAAAAATCATTTTAAAATTCACCACCATGATCACTTCTTATTTTAACAACTTTCAAATCTTTTTCATTTTTAATTCTTTTGACATTATTAGAAAATTCTTCAAAATAATCATTTTTATTTGCAAGAAATATTGTCCATGTAAAACGGGAAAAATCATCAATAATCACAAATACATAGTGTTTGCCTCCAAGAGAGGTAACACGCATAGGACCAAATAAATCAAGATGAAGTAGTTGCAGAGGTTTAGAAGTTGATACCTCATTGATGGATTTAAAAGAATATTTTGTTTGTTTACCTCTTGCGTAATCTTCACATATGATATCTTTGATGAAGTGCAAGTTAGGTAACCCTTTTACAAGATTTCTCTTAGACAATTTTGATATTAACTCCATGTTTGCATGTCCAAGCCTCTTATGCCAAATCCAAGGATTTTCATCAATTGCCGCAAGGAACTTCACATCTTGATTCACTAATTCATTCATCTCAAAAATGTACACATTATATTTGCGATTAGCAACAAAAACATTTTTTCCATTCATACTAATAATGCATTTGTCCGGTTTAAAGGAAATATCAAAACCTTTATCACTCAATTGGCTAATGCTAAGAAGATTATGATTCAAACCATTTACCAAATAAACATATTCTATAACGGGTGAAGGTTTCTTACCAATAGAACCTATAC